ACATGTTCAAATCTTTATCCAAAAGCTACCCTCTTTAATTTACAAAACTAAATCCATTCTCCTTGTTTTGCAAAACCAAAATCCATTCCCTTTGTTTTAGAAAACTAAAATCCATGAAAGTAAAAGCCATAGCTCAACTCAATTTAACATGATTAATCAAGAATAATTCCAATACCATGGTTAATTCACCCTTTTATCAATTAACACAATTACACAATCCATATAATCAAGTACAAAATATTACACAACTTTATCTCATCTTTAATCCATTAAGTCTATGATATTAAATTAGATCTTTTTTTTCCTCTCAACATCGACTTGCTAAACTACTCCCCAAAGAACCCAAAAAACAATTTATATAATGATTTCCAACCCCCAAGTCACAAACCCTAATATCTGTCATATGATTTTTCAAAAAGAACTCCAATATACATGGCTTTTATGGAGTAAAAATCTACCACATATGTATCTATAGACAAAGTATTAAAGATGAGCAAGAAATCCCTACCTTTTGAAGCGAAGAGGAGACAACCCAAAAATAACCGATGATGAAACCACGAACTACTCGGATCAATAGAAAGCCCTTGACAAGATCTACAACCTTTTCCAAAGGACCAAGGTGAAAAGATGGCTCTAGGCGAGTAGATTTGAAGATCTAAGCATGAAAAAAATTAAGTTTAGAAAGAGAAGAAAGAAGTCACGGTTTGAGAGGAAAAGTGAAGGAAAGTTAATGAGAGGAAAGTGTTTTGGAACCTATTTATAGTGGCTGGGCACTAATAGAATAATAGCCCCAAAGTCAAATGAAAAGAAAAAGTCAAAAACCCCTAAAAAGTAGGGCCCAAACCAACCCAAAAATAAAAAAATAAAAAAAATTATATACAGGGGTCTACCCTTCAAACAGAGGTGCCAACCCTTCAAGAAGAAAATGTGAGACACTAATGTGTGCAGCAGGCAAGGGTCGACCCTTGGAACCCCTAGTGTCGACCCCAAATTTTAGCAGCCAAGTCCAAATTCAGCAATAGATAAGGGTTGACCCTTTCCAGACTGGCGTTGACCCTTGAGGCCAACAAAAAAAGACAAGTGTTGACACCACAAAGACTGGTGTCAATCCCAGAATAAGATTTCTAAGTTCCCAAACAACTTTTCAACGTAAACAAGTGTGAACGAACAATCCCAACAAGTTTAAATCGATTTGTACTCCTCTAAAATCAAGATACAACAATAGCAAAGATTCCCAAAATAAAATAAAGGATTCCAATACACTTCCCAAAAGTTTTAAAGGATACAAGTGCTACAAGTCTATCGATATCCGATCAACTTGATTTTTTACAGATATGTTCTACTCGATATTCTTTAAAAATTGAACTATTCGGATAATGAAAATAAAGTCCGAAATAATTCCCATGAGCCGCACAACAGTCATTGTTGTTCAAGTCGCACAATACTGACCCCTAATCCGATTTTAACTATGGTATAAGAGATTTAATTTTGATTGTTACTTGAGAAACGGTATCTTCAGCTTCTCGAACCCTTGAGAATCGTAAGTGGAAATTGGCCGCTTTTATACTCAGTTTGGATCATGAGAGGAGGTGAGAAAATAAATGATTATGTTTGCTCATCTAATTGAGAAAAGAAAAGAAAAGAAAAGAAATGATTATAGTTTCTCACCATATGTTTAGATGAATAAGAAAAGAGAATGTTGTTTCTCATGTATTTTGTTTGGATAGAGTAAATAAGAGACAAAAAGGAAAATGTTGTATTTTATTTTACCAAAATAACTTTCCATAATAATAACCTATGTTTTTTCATAACGATAATCTTGGTATTTTAGAAAATTTTCATTAAATCCAATTCCTTTCTTACCAAATCTCATCACTTTTGGTGAGAAAAAAAAAGTATAGGTTCGATGAGAATCATTTTCTTACAATCTCTCATCATTTTTTTTTGTCATTTATCACCTACTTAACTATTTTAACAAGTGAAAGGGTTTTCTATTCTCACAATTTTTTTTCTTTTCTTACCAAACCCCTCCATCCGAACAGAGTGTTATATTTGGATGGTCATTATTAATGAGTGGGCCAAAGGGCATGGCAAATTGACGGTTGAGACCTGTCGGGTAAATTAGCTTTAGATAATACCAGTGTCTAGTTTGAGGTAGGTTTGCACTATATTAACATAGTATATTTTTCATTTCAAGTCTAGTCAGATCTGATATCATGTCTAATCTAATTATTTCAAGGCCGGTTCTAAGAAATTTTTTAAATCTTAACCCGCCCACTTAACCTAAGGGTGGTTTGGAATTTACTTCTAAGAAATTTTTTAAATCTTAGCCCGCCCACTTAACCTAAGGGTGGTTTTGAATTTACTTATTTAGTGACTTTTTGATTTTTTATGAAAAAAATATGCAAAAAAAATAGAGAATAATACGATAACTTGTTGCAAATAAACAAATAAGCTGTTTATTTAGATGGTTGCCAAATCACCCCTTAATAAATGTGATTTTTTTTTTTGGTTCTTGAAGAGTTGTAAAATTATTTAGATCTTTTTAATGAGTATTTGAATTTGGTATATTGTAAAATAAATATGATCTTGTAAAAAATATTTTAATTTAAGCGCTTGAATATAAAATTCAGAGGTGCTGAGGAAGAGTTGTTGCAATTGTCTCTTTAAAAAATTGAAGAAAAATAATGGGATAATTTTAGTTTAGTATAAAAATTGAAAAATAATTACTAATTTATGATAAATTTTATCAATATTAATAATTAAAATTATAAAAATTTTCATACATATGTAATAATTTTCTCAAATTCCATCTAATAGGTAATTTCCTAAACGATAATTAGTGAAATAAGGATAATAATGTGAAAGAGAAAAGAAAGAGATATTAATATGAAATAAGGATATCAAATTCCATCTTTGTACACCCTACAAATATGGATATTGAATTTTATTGCATATGTTTATTTTTTTTAGTTATAATATTATTTATCAAAATAAAAAAAAAGAAAGAGAAAAGAAATCTTTGTACTCCCAACAAAGATGAATATTGAATTTTATTGTATATGTTTCTTTTGGAAAATGAGTGAAAGTACTAATTAGTGCTATCACTAATGATGTGGTAATGAGTCCCACCATGAATGATTTGATATTTTGGTCTTGGTGTTGTATTTTTTTTTTTATTGAGTGTCATGTCATTAGTGGTCTTTTTAGAGCTCCAAAATTAATGGTCTCTATCATTGTTGGTTTTTAGTTATAATATTATTTATCAAAATAAAAAAAAAGAAAGAGAAAAGAAATCTTTGTACTCCCAACAAAGATGAATATTGAATTTTATTGTATATGTTTCTTTTGGAAAATGAGTGAGAGTACTAATTAGTGCTATCACTAATGATGTGGTAATGAGTCCCACCATGAATGATTTGATATCTTGGTGTTCTATTTTTTTTTTTTATTGAGTGCCATGTCATTAGTGGTCTTTTTAGAGCTTCAAAATTAATGGTCTCTATCATTGTTGGTTTCTTTTTTAGTTATAATATTGCTTATAAAAAAAAAAAAAAAAAGAGAAAAGAAAGTGAACAATAAGAAAGTTTTTTTTGGAAACCTACGTGTAAATTTTTGTCCTCTATATATAAGTTTTGGGTATTATTATTATTATTATTATTAATTTTTTTTTTTTTTAAATTTTTTTTTTGGGATCATATATTTTATTTTTTTGGGGTCATATAAGATGTGAAGGACACTTTAGTCGTTTTAGGAAAAGAATCTTCTTTTCATTTTTAGGCTTGGTTTGGGGATTGGACTGATTTTTTAGTTTTATGGCTTTTCTTATTATTTTAGTTGGGGGTTAAAAAATTTAGTCTATAAAGGATTTTTAATTTTTTAAATTTTTTTGTGAGAGAAAAAATGTAATGATTATAAATTGAATGTAATATTTTATCTTATTAAAATTAAAAAGCCTATTTTATTTTTTTAAACTATTTTAACCCTAAATCCACTTCCAAAACAAGGGCTGTTTTTTGTGGCTAAAAAGATTCCACTCACATGTAAATATCTAAAAAAACACCACCACTTAACTATTATTCAATGTGTTTGGTTTGAGTTTTTTGGATTAAGTTTTTTGAAAATTAAATTTTTTGTTTTCCGTATTTTTTTGTTTTTAGTGAATATTTTTAAAACTTTAAACATTTTTTTAAAATTTTTTAGATGCACCTTACTTAGATGTATCTAAAAAGTAAAAAATTTATGAAAAAATATTTTAAAAAATTATTAAATACATGAAAATATAAAAAATGTACTGAATTCTCTTTTTTTTTGTATTTTTGGTATTTAGTGAATTTTTAAAAAAAAAAATTCACATTTTTTTTTTACTTTTTAGGTATTTTTATGTTAGGTATATCTAAAAATTAAAAAAATTGCTTAAAATATTAAAAAAATTCATTAAAAATAAAAAAACACGCAAAATAAAAAAGTAGAATTTTTTGAAAATTATTTTCAAAAAAACAAAACCAAACAAACTGATTATTATTATTTTATTATTATTATTACAACAATGCTACATATTATTAAAAAAACACAATTTTTACAATCTCACTCACCTGTGATTGGTCTAAAAAAAACAAAAATAAAAAACAAAAACACATAATTGATCAATATCATTTTAGAAATTATGGAGATCCTCAAGTTTGAAAGTTCCAACCATTTTGTTACTATTATTATTTATTCCCAGCAATAACAATGCCGAGTTATTCAAGCGGATCCTAGTAAGTAAGAGCAAGGATTCTCTAGAGTGAAATTTTCTTAAAGTTTCCTAAAGTGTTACATTGTGTGGTTGAGATTTACTGACAAGTCACATTAGGATGATTTCACTCTAGTAGATCCTTGGTGAGTAAGTAACTAGAGACAAATTATTGAGACCTAGGATAACACTACTAAAGGTTACACACACTGACTGCTGACTCACTAGGAGTTCGATTCTGGCAAGCAAAATCTAAGGATCATAATTATTCACAGACACTTTGATGAGATTTAAGCTCGTTAATCAAAGCAATGACAGCGGCATCGGACGAGCCCCCATAGTCCATAGCTTTCTTGGCCTTCTCAGCCATCTCTCGTGCTCGCCTTCTCATCTCCACCACTTGGTCACCACCATCACCGCCAATTAGCCATTTTACTGCCTTCTCCACCTTTTCTCTAGTTACCGTCACCTTGGGCTCCCAATGCAACGACACCCACTCCTCGTTCTCCACTCGAATCCCAGTCTTCAACACATCTGTAACCAGGCTTTCAATGAAAAATTGCTCTGCTGCGAGTGGCCATGTGATCATTGGAATGCCCGCTCCTATGCCCTCAATCGTTGAATTCCATCCACAGTGTGTCACGAACCCTCCAACAGCAACGTGCTCTAAGATTAGCAGCTGCGGTGCCCAACTCCTTACTATCAATCCTTGCCCGGACTTCGTCATCCTCTCTTCAAATCCATCTGGAAGCATTTCATCGCGATTTTCCCCTTCTCCTCCTTCCCTCTTTTCTTTGTCTTCTTCGTTGTTCTTTGAGAGATCTCTAGCCACCCAAATGAATGGGCAACCAGAAGCCTCGAGACGGTGAGCGATCTCAAGGAACTGTTTAGGAGCCATGCAAACTTGGCTCCCAAAACTAACATAAATTACTGAGTTGGGTTTTTTGGAGTCAAGCCAGCTCAAAACTGTACCACCAGCAATGGAGTTCTTTTCTCCCCTCTCGGCCTTTTCTTCGGCTGCTTTGTTAAAGAGATACACTGGCCCTACAAACCATAGTTTTCTACCCATTTCATTCTGGTAATGCTCAGCATAAGTTGGCTCCAAGTCGTAAAAGCTGTTGATTATAATCCCATAGCTCTTCAGCTCGGCCTCTAGAAAGATATCCAAAAGTTGTCCCCAAACAGTTCCTTTGGGAGTTTAAGCTTACTACACTTGATGTTGTCATCGGGTAGATCCGGCAAAGCAAAGGTCTCTGTATCATAATTCACCTTTTCGTGCGGTGCGTAGCGTCTAACGCTCTCTTCACAACAGAGAGGGAACAAACCTATAACGTGAAATCATAATTTTAAGAAGGGAAAGTGTTTTGGGTGTGTAAGCTCTATATATGTATTTGCGTAAGTTTTTATAAATATATTTAAATTATTTTACAAAATTACGAAAGTTTTAACAAATATATGTACATTGTGATTTTTTAAATTTTTATGAGGTTAACAAATGCATATTTTTAAAAACTTACACAATTTTGAAAGATAATTTACGTATGTTTATGAGAAATTACGCAAGTATATATTATCCACTTGCACGAATTGCCCTTTTAAGAATATTAATTTGCAAATTGAAAATTAATACAAAATTTTTACGTGGGTAGCTTAGGTTCAATCATTTTATAATCAAAAGCTTATTTTCAAAAACACTTTTCAAAAATTTTATTTTCTTGTTTTTTATATTTTTACTGAATTTTGTTTAATATTTTAAACAATTTTTAAAATTTTTAGATACACCTAACATAAATACACATAAAAAATATATTTTTTGTGAAAAATACCAAAAATATATATATATATATATATATATGAGAATTTAGTATATATATTTTTATGTATTTATTAATTTTTTTAAATTTTTTTTACTTTTTAGATATATCTAAAAAAGTAAAAAAAATGTTTAAAATTTTAAAAATATTCAAAAAAACAAAAAAATACGAAAACTAAAAAACTAATTTTTCAAAAAACTTAATAAAAAAAACTCAAATCAAACGCATACATTATTGTCACATCATTTTGCTATAAATGCTGTATGAAAATAATATTTTTTTTAATATTTAAATGACTTCCAAATGGAATGGGCTTGTCTTATAATTCTTCAAAAATAAATAAATAGATAAACATTAGATTGACCCATATTAGACGGTATCAACCAACTGGTATCTTTCACAACAGAGAGGAAACAAACCTGTAACATGGAACAAGATCCTGGGAATGCCGCACAAACGTCGGCCGTCCACGGATAGAACATGTCGCTGACGAGGCAATCGGGTCGGCGTTCCCAAAGCAGTTTCTCGATAGGTTGTTCGAGCTTTGAGATGGCCGCAAAAAGCACATGTAATCATAATAATAATAATCATAATAATAACGCGGAATTAAACTTAACAAAATCGTGAATTCAATACAACTCAAGAATAAAACGAACATATCTTTGTCAGCCATTGAATTAGAGAAGTTGAGAAAATATCCCTAAGAGTTGAACCTTTAATTCTTGGCTCACCTTCTTCTCTCTATCTCTCTTAATTAGGATGACTATAAAACTTAAAGTGATGGAAAAAATACTTATAATATGAAAGGGGAATCACCCATCCTTATATAGAGGAGAGAGAGGGCCTGAAAAAAATACTTATAATATGAAAGGAGAGTCACCCATCCTTATATAGAGGAGAGAGAGGGCCAAATAAACTCTATCAGAAAAATTCCTAATCCATCAAGGTTTCCTTCTTATCTTAGAAGAGTGATTATATTAAAATTCTAATTACTGAACTTTATATATAATATTGGTTTTATCTAATTGTGGAGTCCAAATAAATTAAAACATGTAAAAAATATGTAGGTTATTGGGTCATACTAGAAAATAAATCCAACATTCTCCAACTTGGCCCATTAAGCTGATTATGATGCAATTATGAGTTTTTTTTTTTTTTTTCCCAAAAATATGCAACTTATAAAAAATTTTGACTCATTGGATTCCACACTAAAAACTTTAACACGTGATCACGAATTTTAAAAATAGCCAATAAGTTCAGATATATTAGAAACTATAATACTGTGATTACTTTAGATCACCAATGTGAGTCATAACGGTTATATAACATTTATGTCATATTTCCTTCTATACACTACACCATTGATAACCTTCACCAACCCAGTCCTTTATCGGGATATATAATTATTTTCCTGAAAGGCCCTTGTAATTTGTCTTGTTAAGACATTCTCTGTTTATCAATATTCAAATTAATGTGTACACACACTTTTAGAAACAGGAAAAATAGAAACAAAATTATTATTACGCAAATAGTGTCAAATAAAAATAAGCACTCAGAATTAACCATACACATCAAGGGTTGCTTAAAAGACCCATCCTGATAACATGCTCTTTGTATGTCTTTGGTGGCAATCCCTTTGTGAATGGATCAGCAATCATAAGAGAGGTGCTTAAGTTGTCAATTAACACTTGTTGTTTTTGGACTCTTTCTCTAACGACTAAGTACTTTGCTTCCATGTGTTTGGAACCACTAGAGTACTTTCCATTCTTAGAGAAGAAAACTGATGTGGTATTGTCACAATATATCTTCAACGGCCTGGCAATTGAGTCAACAACACCAAGTCCTGAGATGAAATTTCGTAACCATAAAGCAGATTTGTAGCCTCAAAGCATATGGAATGTCCTTCATTTGTTTTCTTTCCAAATCATTCCTTGGACACTATTTTTCACTTAATTTATCACCCTTCATGATGGGTGCATCACCAGCTGAACAAAACTGCATATTGAATCTCTCCAAAACACGATCAATATATCCTTTTTGAGATAGTTCTAGCAATCCTCAAGATCGATCCCTAAAGATCTCTATGCCAATAACATAGGTTGCCTCACCCATATCGACCATTTTAAAGTTCTTGGAGAGATATTCCTTGGTCTCATGCAATAAGCCAAGGTCATTACTAGCTAACAAAATGTCATCCACATATAGCACCAAAATAATGAACTTGCTTCCACTAACCTTCAGATATATGCACTGATCAACTGCATTTTTCTTAAATCCGAAAGAGATAATGGTATCATTAAACCTTAAATACCATTGCTTGGAAGCTTGTTTAAGGCCATATAAGGATTTCTTTAATTTGCAAGCTAAATGTTCTTTACTTGTCTTTGCAAATCCTTCTGGCTGCTCCATATAAATTTCTTCATCCAAATTCCCATTTAAAAAGGCAGTTTTCACATCCATTTGATGCAACTGTAACTCATAATGAGCTACCAATACTAGGATGATTCTAAACGAGTCCTTCTTAGATACTAGAGAGAAGGTCTCTGTATAGTCTATGCCTTCTTTTTGAGCAAAACCTTTGGCAACAAGTCTGGCTTTAAATCGTTCGATATTGCCTTTTGCGTCAAGCTTGGTCTTAAAGTCCCATTTACACCTGACCTTTTTGCAGTTATTAGGCAATTCGACGAGATCCCAAACACTATTCTGTTCCATGGATTTTAACTCTTCATTTATAACATTGACCCATTTAGAAGAATCATCACTATTCATGGCTTGTGAAAATGAAACTGGATCTTTGTTAATCCCAATATCAAAATCAGATTCCTGTAGATACACCATGTAATCATTTGGAATGGCAAGCTTTCTTTCCCTCTGAGATCTTCTCAGAACTGTTGGTTGTGGTGGTTCTACAATATTTTCAATGGTGGTATCTTCATGAAGTGGTGAAACATGAGGTGGTGAAGGATTTTCATTATGTTGTTCGTTTCCCTCAGCCTATGGAATAGTCTGAGGAACAACAATTTTTTTGATAAGGGTCAAATGTTGGCACATCTACCCTAATTTTCTCGAAATTCAGCACTCGTGTTTTCTCACTCCCACTAATTTCACCATTCTCTAGGAATCTAGCATTACCAGTCTCCACTATCTTCGTACTGTGATTAGGACAATAAAATTTGCACCCTTTAGACTTGTCTGGATAACCAATGAAATATCCAGATATTATTCTTGAGTCTAACTTTTTCTCTTGTGGGTTGAAGATTCTTGCCTTTGTTGGACAACCCCAAATATGTAAGTGTCTCAAACTAGGTTTCCTACCAGTCCACAACTCAAAAGGAGTTGTTGGGACCGCCTTACTAGGAACCCTATTTAAGATATACATTGTAGTTTTTAAAGCTTCACCCCACATTGAAATAGGTACAATTGAGTAACTTAATATACTCCTAACCATATCTTTAAGTGTACGATTACGCCTTTCAGCAACTCCATTTTGCTGTGGCATACCAGGCATTGTATATTGAGCACAAATGCCTTTCTTTTCTAAGAATTTGGCAAATGGGCCAGGATTTTGGCCTGACTCATCATATTTACCATAATATTCACCACCCCTATCTGATCTCACTATTTTAACCTTTCTATCTAATTGTCTCTCAACTTCAGTTATGTACACCTCAAGGATGTCAACAGCCTGAGACTTTTCATGAATTAGATACACATATCCATAACGTGAGAAGTCATCTACAAATGTGATAAAATATTTTTCACCACTAAGACATGGGATATTGAGTGACCCACAAATACCTATATGAATTATCTCAAGAAGCTCATTACTTCTTGTGGCACCTTTCTTGGTGCGTTTGGTTTGCTTTCCTTTAATGCAATCCACACATATCTGAAAATCAGTGAAGTCTAGGTTTTCCAAAATCTCATTCTTCACCAATTTTTCAATTCTATTTCTAGAGATATGCCCCAACCATCTATGCCACAAGATTGAGGATTTTTCATTAATTAGACCACGTTTTAAACCAATATTCGAATGCAGAGTTGCTAATGATTGTGCAAACTCATGATTTAAGATAATTTTATATAAACCATCACATAAATTACCAGAACCAATCACTTTTGAATTAAATATTAAATTGAGTTTTCCACAATGAAATAAAACTGAATATCCAACATGATCTAATTTGGATAACGAAACTAAATTCCTAAAAATTGAAGAAACATAAAAAGTGTCTTCTAGATCCATCTGATGTCCCGTCTCTAAAATCAGTCGATAGGTTCCTACAGTTACGACTTCAGCTTTGAGACAGTTCCCCATATAGACAAATCTGTCATTTTCCTTCGGTTTCCTAGTTGAGAGGTATCCTTGCATGTCATTTGTAATGTGGGTCGTGGCCCCAGAGTCAATCCACCACGTATTATAAGGTACTTCAGCAAGATTTGATTCATAGCAAACAAAAGAAAATTTCTTACCTTTCTTTTCGAACCAAGCATTTCGCTTGATATAGTCTTTCTTCACATGTCCCTTCTTGCCACAAAAGTAGCACTTGACAGTGAAACCATTCTGAGCCTGATTTTCTTCTCCAGGTTCATTCTTGTTCTTTGGTGGATTTTTATTTGATTTTACAAACTTACCCATCTTTTTCTTTATAGCTCCATGAGTTACAGCCAATGCAGTTTGACGTCCTTCCTCCCTCAACCTCACTTCCTCCTGAACACACATATTAGTCAGCTCATTCAAACTCCACTTATCTTTATTAGTGTTATAGTGAATTTTGTATGCACCGAACTGTGATGGAAGTGAGTTGAGAATAAACTGCACGAGGAAAGTTTCATTAACCTGCATCCCTAAAGTTTTAAGTTTTGCAACTTTATCGCCATATTAAGGATGTGATCCTAAACTCCTCGGTGGCCATTATATTTCATTGTTGTTAATTTAACCATAATAGTGCCAGCAAGTGGCTTGTCAATCTTCAACAACCTTTAACCAAATTTTACTTTAAGCGTTAGGATAACGCCACTAAAGAGTCCTTTGGTCAATAACCAAGTAAGATCCCTGGAAGGTCGGAGGAGTCAATATAGCCACCCTTCTAAGTCCAACCACCTTAGATAGCAAGCTATCTTTTTGACAGATCTTAAGAGGTATTAACACAAGATCTCATAAGTAACACGAGAAAAAGCATAAACAATATACATATTAAAGCTTTGAAAATTATGATGAACTATTGATATCACATAAGTCTTTCCTTTAGGCAAAACTTAGGTATATCTATTGTACACTCGTTAAGAATCACTTATGTAGGTCTAAAGTAATTAATGTAATTTTTCAGCTAGTCATGTTATCTTTGGGTATTCAATTCTAATCTGTCAAATTACATAAGTTACATTATCTTACCCAGTTTATAATTATTTGAAAGTGACTCTCCTTTGGGCTAATCTCAATCTCCTAATTATAACTGCAATTGAGAATATTATCAACCTTAATGTTACCCTTTTAACAATTCTTTTATGTAGTTCTATATTCATAAGTTTTACAAATCTAGGCCACTTTGGCAGCTACTAAATTAGTAAACCCTATGAATACGGAACTAACCAACAATATTCTTTATTCATTAATTTGAGTTATTTAATTATCATTAATTCAATCACTATTTAATGATTTCTAGAATTTCTTTTATGTGATTGCAATTACCAATATGATAATAATAATAACTCCAGACAAACATGAATATATATATATATATATAGAGTATGGCAATCATGAATATCTCATATAATGGTCAATAAGAATTACACATAATATGAATTAACCACTTTAATATTTAATAGTTAATGTCATAAAATTATATCATGATATCAATTTTAGATCATGAAAATATATAAATATTAATAATAAAGTGTACATAATCAGACAAGATAAAACCATAATTCTTTGACGTAATACAATCAAATATTTATTTAATAGACTGAACAATTCAACGAATTCTAAAATCACTTTTAATCCGATAATTTGTAATCAAGTTTTGATGTACCAAGTCAACCAAAATTGGTAGCAAAATCAGTTGGATTGTGCAATGACTAAGTAACGGCCTAAGTCAAATTTTTGATCGTGGCTTGTTTAAAAAAAAAAAAAAACTTGTCCAATTCTCTAATAAGAAGGCAAGGTTTCAACTTTAAATTTAACCAACCAACCTATGTGCCAGATAAGTGGACTATTATCATGCAAACTTTAAAGTCATGGCTATTTATATGCTTATTGTAAAGGGTTATGGAAAGCATGTTAATAGCATAACAAAAATCAAAAAGGTGTATTGCACGTTTGATCAATACAAACAAATTGAGATAATATTTTAAAGTCAATACTTTTAATAAAAACAAAGGTACCGTTTATTAATAACAGTATCATAAATATATTATTATTCCAAGGTGTATTGATTCAGAAAACTAAAGCTCTGATACCACATGTAAGTGTTAATAATACATGTAACCATAATAATAATGCGGAATTAAACTTAACAAGATCTTGAATTCAATACAACTCAAGAATAAAACGAACATACCTTTGTCAGCCATTGAATTATAGAAGTTGAGAAAATACCTCTTAGAGTTGAACCTTTAATTCTTGGCTCACCTTCTTCTCTCTGTCTCTCTTAATTAGGATGACTATAAAACTTAGAGTGATGGAAAAAAAACTTATAATATGAAAGGCGAGTCACCCATCCATATATAGAGGAGAGAAGATGGCCAAATAAACTCTATCAGAAGAATTCTTAATCCATCAAGGTTTCCTTCTTATCTTAGAAGAGTGATTATATTAAAATTCTAATTACTGAACTTTATATATAATATTGGCTTTATCTAATTGTGGAGTCCAAATAAATTAAAACATGTAAAAAATATGTAGGCTATTAGGCCATACTAGAAAATAAATCCAACACATATCCCTGTCGAGGATGGTGGAGAGGAGATTCTCACATCCCTCGGGCAAGCCGATCTCGGCGGTGGGTAATTTGAAGGTGTGGAAGCTAATGTCATGGCCTAGTAGTGATTGGTCTCTCTCTATTGATTTCTGGAAGAGCTGAGCATAGCCTGGAGTTGTGATTATGGTTACTTTAGCTCCATGAGCAGCAAAAACCCTTGTTGTGTCTATCACTGGAATCATGTGTCCTCTTGCCAATACCCATGGCAAGAAAAACATTTCTGCTTTACCATCATTTGATGAATCCATGCAGAGAGAGAAAAGAATTAACACACTGTAGACGCGTCCGAACGTCCCGGGAAAATCCCGTTTTGTTCATTGGGCTCACTACATGTCACGACCCGAACCCGCCCCTATGGGTTAAGGCCATAACCGGCCAGTAATCACGAGATTACCTACGGCCTCAAACTAGAAAAACAAAACTTATCAGAGTAAAGGGGCCAAACGGAAGCAAAATTTAAAACTTTGTCCATAGAGATGTGCTTATATGCACATCATAACATTCCAAACATTTATATGTTAATACCTCACATCAAAATATATACTAACACAGAACACTGTACATACCGAATCATACAAGTTTAAGTCAGTCGAACCCAAGACTTATATACAAAAGTAGTCTAATGCTTTCGCCAACATAACAAAACTATGAACAAAGGACAAAAGCGAAGACAGTCTCGTGCGTGAGACGTTTGGGATGACTCCTCAAAACTTTGACTGTTTCTCACAACTTCACCGAGGCTGGTTCTGGACGTCCCTTGGCTCACCTACATGTACATGAATGAGCGTGAGCGAAAGCACAGTGAATAATATCAATAAGGAAGATACATAAGCAATCTTCGAAACAGTTACAGCAGACGGCCTTTGGCCCAATCACTTGTATCAATCAGCCTTCGGCCCAATCATTTATGTCAATCGCCCAATCATTGATGTCATTCGGCCTTCGGTCCAATCATTGATTTCAATCGGCCTTCGGCCCAATCATTTATATCAATCGGCCTTCGGCCCAATCATTTATATCAATCGTTGTCCACTATTCAAATTAATGAACTTACAAAACCTATGTAGAAGTAAAGAGTTGGACAATAACATATCTCAAATATCTTGTTAAGACATTACTCATAGTGATCGGTTGGTTGATTTGCCCTGGAGCTCGACCCTACACATTCCATGAACACAAAAGGGTCACAAACAATTCAATCCGCTCTAAATTCACATTTTCCTCTTTAGGCTTCATTCTTATCTCTTGAACTCAATTACAATGCTCAATGTATGCCTAAGAGTACTTAGAAGTGAAAGAGGACAGAAAACGAAACACAAAATGTCTTTTCAAAATTTCAGAAAACAGGGTCCCCGCTCGAGCGTGGACTTCCCCGCTCGAGCGGACCCATGAAGTCTGTAAAAGTGATGGTTACATCAATTTCACGCTCGAGCGCGAACTCGGCCGCTCGAGCTAAAGATCTGTCTACATAGCTCCCCGCTCGAGTGTGAACTTCCACGCTCGAGCGGAAGCTATGTTTGCAAAATATGCTGGGAGCTCGTATTTTACGCTCGAGCGGCGGTTTCCCCGCTCGAGCGAACATCAAGAATTCTGGGTTTTCCAGAATTTGTTCTTGAGCTCAATTCGACCTCCAAAGGTTCCAAACTCATAATTTTTGGCTCAAACTTCAAATATATTTATGCTATCATGATACAAACACCCATTTACATCAATATGGAGCTCAATTTCATAAATCAAACACATGCATGTCCCAATTGACACCAAACTCATTTTCAACATGCAAATTCATGCATTCAAAGCTCCTATTCTTATAATTTGTACATGCATGTGATGTATTACCCTTATTCACAACCTAGATGATGCAAATAGTGTTCACTCTCATGAAACTCAACAACAACATACTTGCATGTATGATTTAACACTCATTTTTCCATATTCAACTTAATACATGCTTGATTATGCAAAATCATGGTGATCCTATACATGCATGTGCATTTTAACTTCAAATTCATCAATTAAATCACAACTCTTGTTCTTGATCACCAATTAATCTTTAATTCACAAATTACAAGTTCAAACTCATAAATTTACTCACCTAGGAGCTTTAATCCTCCAAATTAAGGTTAATTCTTGAGCTAGCCTTCGATTTATTCAAGCTTCTTGAGCAAATCTTCAATTGTTTCTCTCTCTCTTTCTCTAGCCGGCCCTCTCTCTATTTTAGAGCTCAAGATCAGCCAAAATGCAACAAATAAGGAGAATTGAGGGTGTAGTGCCCTTATACAACAAATCCCACTAATTCAATTTAATAATAACAAATAATAGGGCACTAATTCAATAATTTAATCAATTTAATCTGGTCTGAATCTATTTTTCAATTAAACTTCACTGTAGGCTCTAAAAATTATGCCAATCACTATGGCGTAATCAAATTTGGTTTCTATGGCCGATAAGGCCTTCAATTTAATTTCCAAAGCAGACAATCAAACAAATATTCCTACGGTGAACAGATAGAAATTCAAAGTCACATATTTTCACATAATGGCACACAAAATCACATTAAACACATAATCATATTCATATTAAGGACCAATTAGCACAAAACGGAACAGGGTTATCACACTACAGTTCGGACTCAATGTCATGGTTCTTAATCTAATCTCGCAAAGTGCAATACGAGATTGATAAATCACTAAAGAGTCCAAATCCGGCAAATCGTTTTGAAAAACTGATTTTTAGAAAGAAGTGCCAAACATGGACTGCTTTACCAGATACAAAGTCGCCACCTAAATATTTTATTTGGGGGAATTTAGGAAACCTTGAATCGTGCCTAAGGCCAGGTGTCCGTCATCACCAAAGTTGCCTCGGC